CCAGGGTCTACTCACCATTAAAATTTGGAGGCATTCACTCTGAACCCAAAATTTCTGCACAGCCCTTCACTTGTGGGGATTGATGGGTCTACATGCACGCTTCCCCTGCGCTAATTGGAAAACCAGAATTCATTCAGACAGGATTAAAGAGCCAGTCCTGTTGATGCTTCCATCCCTACACACTGAAGCTCAGCCATGCTATCAGTATCAACACTCAGTATGCAGTGCCACACCCAGGATCTACACCCTCAGCTGCACAGCTTGCTCCTTGTTTTCTGCTTCCCTTCACTGCCACATGGACACATTTACAGCTGAGCCAGCAACTGTTTGTGCTGGAATGGCTTTGTTTTCTGCCTATGTTTCTCTCTAGCTATACCTGTCACCCAGGGATGGACTAAACCTTTGCAAGGTTGTCCCTGCTTGTACTGCCATGCAAATCTGAACCATAGTCCCTGTGGTGCCTTTGCTGCAAGGTATATCCTTTGCTGTGAGGTGTATCCACAGCAGCAGCCAGACTCAGCCCATGGAGGCAATGTTTTCAGCTGTTTGGACAGCAAACACAATCCACAGCCCAGGACTAACCCATGGACCCATGTACTCATTTCAGATATTGGCTCTCTTGCCCACAATGGTTTAGCAGATATAAGATCTTCCATGTACAAAAATACTCTTAACACATTGAACTGTTTTAAAAGTTGCACTTTTAAAAGCCCGGTGTCAAAAAAATTCAAAGTCAGCCCTCTCTTTTAAGGATAGAAAAAGCCTAGTTTCCCCTGGATTTAGAGCATTTAGAGCTCAAGAAAAGTCTCCCCATCCTTCAATCCAAACCAGGCACATACATACATACAGCTTTGTCAATCCACTTGACAAGCCCAGCCCACCACAGCAAAGCTAAAGGTAATACCACTGTACCTGACTAGAAAGGGTGTGAGAAACTTCAAGGGCACCCACTCTGCATCCCTACGCAAAAAGAGCATGTGCTGATGTAGCTGCCAGTGCTGACCCAGAGCAGCCCTGAGCTGCTGGAAGGTGCCAGCCCCCGGTCTGCCTGCTGCAGCCCTGGCACAGCACTGGGATAACCCAGCCCATGGGGAAACAAGGCAGCTCCATCACAGGACATGCTGGACCTGCTCACCAAAGTGAGGACTTCAAAGGGCCGCAGTGGCACTCAGCATGTCAGGAGCCAGTCACTCAGGAGGGAGAACTACCAGCAGCACCTCAGGGGGCTGCAACTGACCCTTCTGGATTAATCAGCACTGGATCTGCTCTTTATAGCCCTGGGCTGAGGGAAACGGGAGTGCATCAGCTTAGAAGCCCTTCATCTGTCATCTGTCAAAATGACATTAACCTCCAAGAACAATTCAAAGAACTGGCAACCCAACTTGATAAATTTAAATGCTGTTTTTTTTTTTATTAACAATCATTTTACATTACAAGGATAATATGACAAAAGGAAAGTTCTTGTGTACATACCATGATATATCAACATAGCTCTATTCGTATCCAGTGTCCTAGGTCCTTTCACACAGGTACTATAAAGCATAGTCTGTAAAGTAATAACATTTTAATATCTCCAAAAGAGTGATATTAACATATTAATACATATATAGTAATAGACGTCTAGATATTTTTCTCTCATTTCATATGTGTGTGTGGTGGGTGAGTGTGTGGGTGAGAGATCGCTTGAAACAGTTCAGCAGGGCTGTGCTTGGATGTGGATACAGAGAGGTTTGAGACAAAACCTCATTTTCTGGAAGTAGAAATGCATTTTTGCTAACTGTCGGGTGAGTCTATGAGGATGCCATGACTGGCAGAAAACTCCGTACCCCTCCCGTAGCATTTGGGACATTACAGCATATGAGACGTGGTTCCCCGCGTAGCCCAGCGAGCTTATTCGACATGAGGTGCAGTGCATGGGAGCCCCTCGCCGGGCGGCAGCACCACCAGCAGGGTGGCTGGGAGGCGAGGCCGCGGGCTGGGCTGGTGCGGGTGTCAGTGGCTTCGGAAGGAGGGGGCTGGAGCGAGAAAACTGTCTCTGAGGTTTGTGAGGAACAGGTGCTGAGAGCTCCCCGCCGCTGAGGGGCTGCGGCAGAGCAGGGAGCCGCCGCCCGGCAGGGGCGGCTGAGGTGGATTACCAGTTGTGTGGAGGAGAGAGGCCTGGGAGAGGACACTGAGGTGTGTGACAGGGCCTGGGGACAGCTTGCACAGCATCTGCTCATGCAAAACCAGTGTAATGATCCATTCGGATGTCGGAATTACAACTCACCCTCCTCCCAACCAAAGTCAACAAATAAAACAAACGGCAAGGAGTGCAGTGGTTGCCACGCCTGGTGTGGAGCTGCAAAGGCAAACCTCCATGCTTTCCCTCCAACCCTTGTGGGGAAGCAGCTCGCTGACTGACCACCTGCTGTTGGACCGGCCAGAGGCACCTCTCAGATCCTCTCAGGTGTCAGCCAAAGGCTTCAGGATGCAGCAGGGCCAGAGTCCTACGTGTGGCTGAGTGAAGGGAGGGATGGAGGGATGAGAGAGCTGCCCATCTCACAGGCATCAGCAGATACTCAGGGAGGGCTGATCCACCCCCACCCCAGCACAGAAATGCTGGTCATGGGAAAGCAGGTGTCTCTTTGCAGGGGCAGAGTAAGAGGGCTGCACCCTTTGGTGCTTCAGCCTGGCAAGGTCCGAACGCTGTGTCCTGGGGCCCAAAGGCACACGTGTGACACTGACTATGTCTTCCATACAATCACATCATTCCCCTTCCTCCAGAAAGCCTCCCTGGGCCCCTGGCCAGGCAGGCTGCTCACAGGCTGAGGAGCGGCTGTGAGACCTGAGGGAGCAGAGTGGCTCCAGCAGCAGAACAGCAGCCAGCCTGACCCAACAGAGCTGGGTGTGCCTTCCCAGTTGGACACTCTTATCCCTATTGCTCCGACTTCACGATTCCTTCTCGTTTGCACTGTTCCAGCTCCATACACTATCCCTGCCAGCACCACCTGTGTGGCCGTAACCTTTCCTCTGCTCAAAACCGCCTTGGCTCTCCTGCTGCCTTTATCCCAGCGCCACGGCTGTGTCGCTGACCGTCGCCTGCAAGTGCACCCACACTCTCACTGGGGCTGCATGAGTGCTGGCCAGCGCAGGGTCTCCCTGGCAGAGTGCTGGCAACTGCTGAAGAATGCCAGGAGGAACTGCAAAAAGCCACGTTTCCTCAGCACCAGTGCCCGCAGTTGCCAACCGTGTCCATGCAGAGAGACAAAAGTGCATGTGAGGGTGGATATGTGTCTAAGTGTGAACACACAGGCTCCCAGCAAGAGGCTTTCTTGGGAGAACACTCAAGCATTTTCCCCTGCCAAGACATTCCACTATTAAACAAACCTTATTTATCACTTGGTTAACATGCCAGCAAGGAAACCCCTTGGCCTAAACACAGCCAAGCCCCTCTCCATAGAGTGCTATACATGTAAATGTAGGCCTCAGTGTATGGCTAAAACCATCCCATAGTCCAAAGTCTTCAGTGTTACGTGCCTTGTGCTAGAACACAGGGCCAGCCTTACACAAGGGTGGTTGAGTCTATCTCTATATTATATTTTTATATCTATTGAAAACATAGAAATATATAAATATATAGGATTTCATTTATAGATATATAAGCATGTGATTTTAATCTTTTGTACTGTGTGTATATGTACTGGGATGTGCGTATATACAATATATAGACCATATGCATATGTACTGTATACATACACTAGCTTACATGCACACACATTATACGTGTCTCCAAGGGAGACAGGAATTGCATAGGCATTACTGCATTGGATACAATGGCTGGGGGATTAACGTACCATTTCTCTGCTTTTAAGACCTCTTTTAACAGGGGTGAAAGTGGAATCTGCAAAAGCAGAGGCTGTTGCTGCTTATTTGCAAGCCAGCTGTCTAGGCACTGGTCAAACAAACAGCAATCCTCATGACACAAGAAAGGAGGGGAACTCCAAAGACCCTGCGGGCCATCTGGTTGAGTTTGTGCTGTGAGTAAGAGATGGACTGAGCCTGAATCATGTCTGAACAATCATACCAGCAAGAGCATCACCAGTACAGGGGACATGGGTGCAGTTGGCTCAAGACCCAAGGCAAACACCACATGAGGACCCTGCCCACTGTGTCCCCTCACAGCCCCTGTAACTTCCGTGTGCTTTTGCTGGCATGGGAAGAGCTTTGGTTTCCTGTGAGGATTATCCCTGCTGAGGTCGGTCTCGTGGCTGGAGGGCCTGGATCCCTGTGGACACAAGGTGAGCCCTGCAGAAGGACACGTCTAAATGTGCTTCACAGATTTCTGCTTCACAGCAGGGTAAAAGAGGCAAGGAGCCTGAGCAAAAAGTGGGGAAGGGAAATTGGCAACCAAAAATCCCACGGGCTAGAAATACAAACCCGAGGGTCTGGAGAAGTGTGCATTATTCACAGTCAGATGCCATAGCTAAGATGCAGGGAAAGGAGACAAAAAAGAGCTCATTCCAGAAAAAACTGAATCCTCTGTCTTTGTAGCCTAACCAGTTCAAGACACTGTGAGCAACACATTCAAAACAGCTCCTCTCGCTCTCTCAGCGCAGCAGGAAAGGCATTGATTAAACTCGAGGCATGGCAAACTTGGAGCCACAGAGGCCTCCCTCAGCACCCTGGTAAGCCCTCCCCATGCCTGCTGCTGCCTCCTGGCCTCACTGCCACCAGGCTGGGCCCAGAAATACAGGCACAGAGTTGCACCTGGGAAAGGCTTGGGAGCCCTAGGAAGCCAGGGGTGCTCTGCATTGATATTCCCCCCTCCTCCCTATCTTGTCTATGCTGGTAGTCATGTTTCCATCCACAGACTATCCATGAAAGTAAGAGCTACAGATCTGAGATAGGCAGGTTAACCTGGAGAAAAAGCTTGCAAAGCACCTGCATTACCCTAGGACAAAGGCCAGGTTTATTTTCTGATGTGTGGGAAACAGGGAATTGTGTTGGAGGAGCTGGGAAGGGCTGGGCTGGGCTGGCCTGGCCTGGCCTGGCTGGGCTGAGTTGGGCCAGCTGCTCTACCAAGCTCTTGTCTATCCTCATTACCAAGGTAAAGGGTCTCTGACCTTTCCTATCACGGGTAACCACAACATCCAGTGGCAGGAAACCACTGTTTGCAAGCAGTTATTTGCTAAAGGAACAAGTGCTCTGCCTGTGTCAGCTGGATGCCAGAGAATATCACCACATGCTGCACATTTCACTGCACCATTAGAAATAAAAGCTGCCAGTGAAAGGTGTCACTGATGAAAGCAGGATTTGCAAGTGAACCAAAGGGAAGGAGTGACAAATTGGAAGCATAATTTCTGAACAGGCCACTGGCAACTTTCACCTTGCCATTTCCTCCCCAGTAGCAAAAGTTAGGAGGCTTGGATCGAGAGTTGTAAACAGGCCTCTTGGGCTGCTCAAAACAAGCTCTGGGGGAGCATTCCTCTCTCCAAAGGTGTCTGGAGACTGGAGACTGTCCCCAAATGTTCCTTCCCTCCATGTGGGCCAGGCACTTTGATGGGCCTCTATGCCAAGGAGCTTTTGCTGCTGCAAACAGAAAGGCAGGTGATTTTTCCTCTCTACCCACGAAGAGCTATGGAGTTCTATGGATTCTGTGACCTATGCTCACCTTGCCCATCTCCAGTCAGAAACTAAAGGAGCAGCAGTTTTTCTATCTTTTTACATCTGCTCAAGTTTAAAAAGGAAGGGAGCCTGCCACCTCCCTAGTAGGTAGCAGCTCCAGAGCATTGTGGCAGCACCCTGAGCAGAGCCAATTCAAACCATGCCTGGAGAGCTACGAGCCCCTTGTGTGGAGAGATCCCTACTTCATGGTCAGGCAAACAACCACCCAAGGCTGTACAGCTAGCAGGGGGTTTCCAGTTTAATTTTCACTGCTCTGGATGAATGGATCAATTTGATCATAAAATTTGTAAGAAAATACAGGAAAACATGAAAACAAAGCCATTTTTCATGCTTCCTAGGTGTGTCATATCAATGCCCCTGTGTTGCAACTGTGGGATGCCCTGACCTAGCTTGTGCCATTTCCATGAGGACCACAAGGAAGAGCACCCAGCGCCTGCACCCCTGGCGGCAGTTTGGCAGCAGCTGGGTGGCCCTGGGGCAGCTGCCCTCTCCTGCCCGAGCCAGCCTCAGGCTGCATGTGCTGTCAGAGGTAAGGCAAGGGGTAAGTGCTACAGAGGGTGCTGATCAGCCCTCACTGCTACATTCACAGGGTCCACTCTGCTCCACTCAGACCATCTGACTGGAATGCCCTGTTTTACAGCGAAGGGGCGGTGTCAGGACACAAGGACAGGCCACCACTCATGTTTTGGGTGGGCTCAGTCCCTCCTCAGTCCGACAGGGACAGAGGCAAACACTTCCAAAACCCTGACCAACACCAGCCTGGCTGTTCCTGTGTGGTCTGAAAGTTGAACTAGTCCATAGTGGCTTGGCTGCACACCTCTGCCAGTGCTGGCTGTGAAGTTCTGCTGAAGGCAAAGGGGTTAGCAGGAGGTGAGTGAGACCTAGGTAGAAGTGTGTGTTTTCCTGGGGAAGACAGTGCGTGAACCCTGGCAGTGAAAGTGACTCAGAGAGAGATCAGTTCCAAACATGCTACATCTCCATTGAAAACAAACAAAAAAGTTTAAAAAATAAAATAATATTATATATATATATATATATATATATTTATATAAATGAAAAGCTATTAACTAGCAGCAACGGTTCTAGAGATATCTTAGCACCAAGACCAAGGGCAGGGGGGTAATAGGAGAAAGGAAAGGTTCAGTGTTGCTGATACCACCATCATGTTTCCAAACAACACAGCTTGGCACAAAGCTCATCCCTCTGGGAAGTGAGAACATGTTGGCTTGGACACCTTTTGGACAACACGTCTCACTCCCACAATGGTCTGGTCAGGTTGGTGCTGTCCATGCCACATCAGCAGGGCAAGGCACTAGCATCTGTGGAGTTTTTGCACCTTTTTTGTTTGTGTGGGTTTTTTTTGGTAGGTTGGGTTTTTTTGTGTTTTTTGTGGTTTTTTTTCTCTTTTCTAACCTGAAGTGATATTGTGTGGATGGAGCTTGTTTACTTCAAAAAAATAAAACAAAGAAGAGCCCCAAGCCCACAGAACAATCTCTTTGTGATGGAAGGTGCAAGTCCCCCAATTCACATTTCAGCTGGACTCTGTATTCCTTCAAAAAAGGAAGAAATATTTTGCAGGAAGAAGCAGAGTATTCCTTCCTCCTGCTGTCATCAGTCTGCTGTGCTGTGGAACATGTTACCTTGGTCACAAGAGAGTAAGTGAACCTTTGTAGGACATCACACATGATTATAATCCAAGATAATCTTGCATTGATAGCTCCTGCCACCAAACTGCAGCAGGTTTTTCTTTCAGTCATTCCAAACAAAACAAAACAAAACAAAACAAAAACCCCACAACAATCTAGGATTATAAAGACATGGTATAAATAATGTAAATTAGAATATAATTTTTCAGCCTTTGAATCTCCGCCCAGAGATGGCTCTCGATTCATTGGCTGTCTAGCTTCCACAGCAGCCCTGGTTTTGAATGAATAGTTGTATATATATATATATATTTATCTCATACAATATAAAAATATAAATGCAAAAATTTCCCCCTGCCTTCTCTATTTTGCTATTTTATAGTCTGCACATGACATTATGTTATAACATATGTATGATAGACTGGTACTACGGTTATCATAAAAGGAGCTGAAAGCCAAGTATTACTCTACAGCCCAAAGGTAGGGAGAACTGAGAAAGGGGCATCACAGTTTAGTGGAGGCATTTGTTTCTAAATCAGAATAAAAACCCAAAATAATGCCCCCAGCCCTCCTCTCCTGTCGGTAATTTTTTGAGTGAAAAAAGCTTCCACTCAGCTGAAGAGAACTGGGGGCAACAAAACACACGGGTTGCTCTGTCAGAAATTAGGAATCTGATGGTTGCCAACAAAAGGCTCAAATGGCTCAATAACTGGGCTGAACAATGGAAAGAGAGGCAGAGATTGAAACTGAGGGGAAAACAAACAAACAAACAAACAAACAAACAACCCCAAAATGAAACAAAACAAAACAAAAAACAACCCAGCAAACTGGCAACACACATACAAAGGAAACTGCTGGGAGGATGAGGCTGACAAAGACCCGTTGTCTAGCTTATAGGTTGTTAGGTTTGAACATGTAGAGTATGGCCCCAGCACATGCTTCTAAAGAATGAAATGTTGCCACCTACATTGCAGCTGCCATGGTTGGAGACACCAGTAAATGTCTAAACATTGTCTCAATCTTTAAAATTCTGCTTAGCTTCTATCAGACGCACATCGTCTTAAATTTTCAGTGTGGGTTTTTCCTTAATATAGATAATATATATATTTTATATAATATATCAAAGTTTAGAGTATAGATTAAAAAAATTATCTGATCTGAGGCATTCCTTCCTAAATATCAGGGTAAAACTCAGAGCCGTGGTCCATGCTCTGCAACATCGGCTTCTGGTCAAGAGATGACATCCTGCTCAGCATTTCGGCCGAGAGCGCGTAACTGTTGCCTGACTTCTCCTCGAACCAGCTATCGAGAGCCCTTTTGCAATCGAAGTTGGCAATGGGCGGCCCGTTAACAGCAATCGTCAACAGGTCACTGAGCTGCTCCAGCGTCAGCCGGGAGCGGTTATTCTTGCGCACTCTCTGCAGGGCGGTGCGCCCCTTCTCACAGCAGGCCGAAGAGGTGGGAAGGACTTTGAGGATCTGAACTATTTTATTTAGGAGGGGAAATCTCTGTTTGTATTTACAAATGTGACTGAGCAAATCTTTAAAACCATTTTTGGTATAATAATCCACCTTGAGTTCCCGCCACTCCATCAGCAGACTCCCTCGAGTGTCCATCCCTTCTCGGCAAACTTCTCTGGAAAATGATGGGACTGTCTCCAGGTGTTCAAATATTTGTACCATATCTTCCTTCCCATAGCTCATGAGCTCATCAGTGCTTCTGGGCCAAGCTGCAAGGTCAAATACCTGACAGGCCTTCACAAATGTCCGGCTGCGGGAATCAAACCTTTGGGCTAGGATCACCTGGGTCTTCTGGCAGATCTTTTCTCTGATCGACTGGAATTTGGCTTCAGCCACCCGTAGATTTTTCACAGCAATGCCATTAAAGCTTTCACGAAAGTTTTCCTCAAACTCCTGCAAGTACTCCCCAGGGGAGTCTGCTAGCCGGCTGATCTCCTGGATGGCCTCCTCTATTTTATCATCCACCTGTGACACAAGAAGGTACTCCCCTTGGAAGACGTAGGCAAGGCGTGAAAGCACAGCGATCACATCCAGCAGGAAGTAGATGAGTTTAATCGACTGGTAGTCCATCAGGAACTGCAGGAGGGCCAAGGCAATGGCAGAAGCATCTGCCCTTTGGGTTTGGCCACTGACATCTTTGAGATGGGCCACAACCTCAAGGTAATCCTTGATGAGAGCGTTGAGCACGTTCTGCTCCCCAATGATCCACTTCACTGCTCGAATGTCCCCCAGGAACTCGGTCTCCTCACACAGAGTGGCAGCAGTGACCCTTAACTCGCACATGAGTCGGGGAGAATAACGATAGAAACTGAGCAGTTGCTTCAAATTGTTTTCTAGCTCCTCCAGACATGGTAGTTCCTTCCCACTAATGGCATCCAAAATTTCCAAGTGGGGCCTATGCACCATAAAGGGAAGACAGAGAAGCCAGGGCAAGGTCTTTCTGATTGTCATGAACAAGTTGGCTCTCAGGCTGGCGGTAATGTTAGCACCATCAACTCCCAAGCCGATAGTTGGCTTCTCATCCTGCAATCGTATTCCCAGGCTGGAAAAAGCCCGATCTAATGCTTGAAGGTAACTGTCTGTTGTAGAAAAGCCGAGCTCCTGAAGAGACAGGAATTCAGTTGCTGGAGGCCCATCGCTGCTGGTGTACTGCACATAGACTGCAACTGTATCTGCAAGCAAGTCGTCGCTCTGCCCATCCAGAATGATGCTGAGGAAGGGAGACTGCCGGATGCGCTCAACCAGGTCCTCTCGGAGAGCACGGGCGATATGGTGAATTAAGATCTGGCAGTCTCCCTCATTCATGTACTGATCCACCACCTTGAGTTCACACTTTCTCAGTAGTTCTGCCAGAGGCCGAAAGTCGTAGTAGGGCCTGCCCTCCAGGGCCAGGTGGTAGGCTGTGTTGAAGAGCAGGGTCATATTTCGGCACATCTCTTCTGTCTTCTCTGGGTGCATCCTGAGCTTGTAAAGCTGCAGGCACTTCTTGTGGAGGTTGCTCTGGCTGTGAAGCTTTATCGTGTGTATCTTGAACTGCTTAGAGCCAATGATGAAGGCTGAAGTCCGAGAAGATTGCACTGTGTACTGCCTACAGACATGGCACCACATCTCATTCAGAGTCGGGGAGTACCGCAGAAACCAAAACTTTTTAAGCCACTCTTGCTTGAACCGCCGTATCCTCCGTCCTGTTGCAGAAGACATCTTAGAAGGCTCATCTGTAGCAGCAATCATATCATTGGAAACTGATTCATCAGCAGAATCCACCTCTTGGTCATCATCCTCCATGATAGTGGGAACTGAGATGATACTTTCTGAAGCTGTAACAAAAAAGGAAAAAAAGGAAAAAATATGGTATTTACAAAGTTGCTGAGCTAGAGAAGCATCCTATTGGTGACAGTAAGAGCACTGCCCAAAGAGCTGGCCACAACGTCTCTTCTCCTTCCCACAATACATTATAGATAGAATTTTAATAATGACTTCGAAAGGAAAAGAAATCAATATCTGCATAAGAACTTTGTCTCCAACATGCCACAATGAACAGCAAAAAAGGACACTAGATCCTGGCCACTTGAGCAATACACTGTGTGGCCCAAATATTCCTTTTATTGAAGGCTCCTGGCTGCTTGACAGCATGTTCCTGGAGGAAATTAAATGTATCTTCAAAAAGGCACACGTGGTTGTGTTAAGGCAGTGTAGGAAACAAAGAGTGATTTCCAACAAGGGACACAGCAGGACATAATTTCATACACAAAGAGAGCACATTTCAGCAATACAACAGAGTCATTCATACTTTCTTGGTAGCATATGAGGCATTGTGGAAGGTCTTCCACTGAAAGAGAATGCATCAAAAATACAGCAAACAAACTGTCTGCAATGGAATGTCTTTTTTATTGGCAGTGCATTATCAATTACAATAGCAACAAATAGAGCAAAATGTCATACAGAGTCTTTCCCAAACGGTTTTCCACTGTACCCACAGCATCAGCTCCTGACTCACCCAGTCACAAAACCTGACAAAGAACCTTCCATGGAACCACAGGTTCACCTGAATACTCAGAGCAAAATGCTTTAGATGGGTACACAGCACACAGGCATCTCACTACTCTCCTTAGGCAGGGTTTGGAGAATGCTCTAACTCGGCAAGGCTTACCTGTGGGGTCTGAGAACTCTTGGAGCTCGGGTACCTGGGGCGGTAACACGGGTGCCTCGGGTAACTTCCCAGATCTCAGCATGTCTAACTCAGCCTGCAGCTCCCGGATTTTCTTCTTCAGCCGGATGCAGTTGGGGCAGAAGGACGTGGTGGGGATTTCATGGGAATTGCCTTGTGCAGAGGCCAGTGACAGCTCAGTGGGGCTGTCTGCTTTAAGTGACAGGGGCTCTTCTTCCTCGTCTTCAAGGATGCTCATCTCCTTGGCTGAGATAAAAGAGGAACTGTGAGGGACCCTCCATTCACTCTCCCTCTGGTTTCTGCTGAGGCTCAGGGAGCCGTGCTGCATGGCGCTGCCACACTGCTCAAAGATGTCTTCAGCCTGGTATTTAGATGCTCTTCTGAGGGGAAGTGGTGTACTTGTTGTTAACTGGTTGTCTTCAAACTTGGCAGACTCCAAAGAAGCCTCCAAGACATCTTTGAAGATGAGGTCAATTTTCTTTTTCTTTGTTTGGGGGTGGGATTCCCCTTCGTCACAGCTGCGCTTGTAGGGGCTCTTCCCCTGCTTTAAGGTAGTGAACTGGAGTGCTCCTCTTGCATCCTCTTGGTTTTCTACATTCTTTTCTGAGTTTTCATTCTGTAACATTTTGTCTCCTAGAATGGAAAATGAGGGGTGGGGATTATCACTGGGAACGGAGCAACATCCCTCAATCTAAAACTCAAACAAAAAAGAACAAAAAGGCAGACTGAATCCCTGCAGGTCTGCATATTATGTTACAAGCCAGGGAACTGACACAACTCAGTGGAAATTGAGGCTTGCAAGAGGAGAAGCCCCACTAATGGGCATGTCTGCAAAAACAGAGACAGTCCTGGATAACCACAGCAGAGTAGAACCCACACACTTCAGAGAAGAGAAACTACAGGCAGCTTGTTTAACCTAAAGGTATAACCAATCTGCGTTGGAAGAGGACTATGAGGTGAATGACTGATCATGGTGGAAACTATACCCAGAGCCTAAGTGCTATTTTGGCTGGCTGGAAGTCCTGTGCCTGTTTTGACTTGGTAAAAGGTATCAAGCGTACAGCAGTGCAGTGAGAGATTTACACCATTTCATGACAACCTCAGTGTCTGTGCACGCCATGGCACAAAGTTTGCAAGCCCCTTTACTCTTGTTCAGTTTGGAGGCTGCTCCAGAAATGGTAAGGTAAAGGAGTAAAAACAACTTGCACACTTAAAACCTAAGGTACACATTGCCAACTGAGCTACAACAGGTGAATGCCCTCCAAGGATGGGACATCTAGCTTGTCCTGGTGGAGTCTGAGAGCATGACCACTCAGTAATTGAAAAAAAAATATCAAAAGTAACCTCATATAAATTATTAATTGCTTATAATAAAGGGAATAGCCAGATTTCCTTACCTGGAAATTCAAAAGACGATACGTTTGGCTCAATTTCCATCACTCTTCTATCTTGTAAATAACTTCAAGCATTGATGGCTTCCCAAACAAGACGCTGCTTTATGCTGATTTTTGATTTTGTTTGCTTAAAGTGTATTCATGCTTTCATAAGAGTTATGGAGCAAAGGCTACCATTCCCTCTCTAAGGAGAGCAATGCTAAGAATGCAGAAAAGATGCAAGACTCGAAACAGAGTAAGGCACTGTAAAAAGGGCTGGCCTGAATGGATGGGATTTTGCACTGGGTTTGGATGCTGGCTGGGAAACCCAGACACTTCTTTAGGGAATCCATAACAACAGATCTCATTTTCAACACATTGATGAGAATTTCTATGGACAAAGCTTTTACTCTCTCTCTTAGTATTTCCCCTGTTATGGACCACAGCAACTATTGTGAGAGGTAGTGATTTAGAGAACCGGTTCTTCTTTCCTGGTGATTTTGTCCCCCAGCCAGGCGAGTGCTCCAGCCCTATTGAAAAGCTAGAAATCACAAGATGATCCCTCATATTACTGGTCTCAACTCCAATGATGAGGCGGCTCAGAAACAATCAGCAGAAGCACAACCCAGGAACCATATTATTTTTCTGTGAGTTCGTAAAGTGTGCCACTTCCTTTGACAGACTCATCTGCAGGGATTTGAAATCTTTTAAATAGAAAGTGACTCAGCAGATTTTTGTGCTGCTTTCTGACCACTTCCCAGTGCCCTCCCAGTGGAGGCTTTGATGTCTCTTGCAAGTCTAGCAATGGCCCAGGTGATGCTCCATTTTAACATCTCTGTGCCCCTTCTGTGAATGCAGGCTGAGCCCAGCTTGCAGCAGGATGAGCTCACCAAGATGTCAGGGGGCTTCTGGAATGGTCTCTGTAGCCACATGAGTCTCTACCTGAAGGTGCATTAGGCTGTGGCAGGTTCTGGAGAGTCCTGAGGCAGATCTTCACCACACTTGTAGCACAGAGCAGGCTGTGAGTTACCGTTTCAGCTCCCACAAACCATGACACCGTGACAATCCAGGACTAAAGGCATGTCTGCATGACAGGGCAATAGCTCGTAGCCTTGGTGCCTCTGTAGAGCAGCTGCTTCAAGGGCAGACTGTCTCTTGCTGTACTTTCAGAAAGCACTAGGCCATCTGGATGACTAATGTGTGCATGTTACAGCAGCAAAATCACTGCAGCCTGTACCTAATCACTCACTGGTGTTCATTAACATAAAAAAGCAAATTCATACCAATGTTGATTCAGAAGTGGGAATTACCCAAGTACAGCCACCACGATGTAACACTGCAAGTGCATAACAACCCTAAGGTGATAGAGATAGCCAGCTTTTTCAGGACAACTTGTCCACCCCATGACTGAAGAGGAGACACCTTTTACCAAGTCAAGGCAGCAACAGCAGCTGTGTAATAATATACTCAGGAATGATAATTACAAATTATATTTAGTGTGGCTGCCCCTCTGAGGCCCTGCCATTCTGCATCTAGCCTGGAAAGAAATGCTCCTATTTAACTTCAGGTATCAGCACTGTACAGATGAACAGATGTATTAAGAATTTTTGCTTTCCTCTAAAGCTTCCTGTATTGCTGACAATACGTGGGCCCAAAGGACTGCTGGGTTTGATTCAACATTGCTACTTTTTAGACAAGATAACAATTTTTATCCAAGGAAGAATCAGTCTGACAAGTACAAAGCCTCCTGTACGTTGTACACACATTCTAAGGTTGTGAGACTAAGGAGCTGATGTCGCGCTGATCCCAAATTATCTTTCTGAAGAAAGAGGAGATAAATTAAACGAGGAAAATGGACATACAAACACACCAAGGAAATCTCATTCATATGGACAGAAAACCAACCACAGCTCCCTCAAACAGGCTGCTCACAGGAGCCAGAGAGAGCAGCATGTTCAGAGGAAAAACCTAACTCTGTCTTGTAGGATCATCAGCTTGGCAATCTTCGGGCCAAAAAGTCTTGTGACAGGGGTACTCTGTGATCCCTGGGCATTGCATCAGGCCCTTCCAGCACACACACACACAGCATGGCACAACACAACACATGACATGACACATCACAGCACAAATCTTTCTTTCATGATCTCCATGACTGTGGGTATCTTACTGTTCTTGTACACCCATCCATCTGTGCCAGACAGAGCTGGGGGCTCTCACCTGGAGGCGCTCTGCTTCTAGAAATGCAGCTCTCCTCACACAGCCTCTGCAAAACCTACTTCACCCACCACACTTGGCCCAGCTGTGGGGCAGCCTGAGGGGATCAGGAGAGAGGATGGAAAGGGAAGGGACTCACCACTTGTGCAATTTCTGTTCATGGTTTCCTGGGACATACTGTGCAACCGCTTCATGTAATCCTCACTGTACCAGACCCGCAGCTTCTCCCCAGGGTGGATGTCACGGCAGGCACGGAAGTAAATCCTCTCGCTGTGCTGGAAGGCCATGAGGTTCTGCTCCCTCTCCTCCCGGGAGATGATGACGTACCTGAGGGCAAGGGGACAAGGCAGGTGTGAAGCACAAACTTCTCTCCTGTGCCCCCCCTTGCATCAGAATGACAACCATGAAGAAGCCAGAATGACCTTTGGAGAGAGACATCAACACAGCCAGGCTGGAAAGCATGGAGTTATAAGCAATGGTGTGCAAACGAGCATGGACACCCAGGGAACACTAAGCCAGTGGGGCTGTTTTTTGCTGGGGAAGGGATGACACAAATGCACATCCAGTCTGAAGGGACGTCTGCCAGCAAGGGTGACAGACTATACTAGTCAGAAATATCTTTGCCTAGTGATGGAAACAAGGACTTCTGGACTCCTACCATCACTTCACGTCCCAGGGCTCCCTCCCTTGTTCTCAGGAATACCTGGAACACAGAAGGGTTCCTCTGCCTGCCTGCTTCCCAAAAACACTGCCTTCCTTTTTTTGGTTGGTAACAGATTTGCTTGCTTTTGTCCTTTCAGGCAAGCAGAATTAAGATTCTAAGGACAGAAACATGGATACCTAATGGGCATGGGAGTATGTGCTGGTTGTCCAAGGACATACCAGTATTGGAAGGTTTTGCACTTCAGAGTTCAGCAGGGTGCGACATAAAATACCAATTCAGCTCTGCAAGTGGAAACCCCAACACCACATTGTGGGGATCTCCTGGCAGTGCTGACAAAAAGATCACTTCCAGGGCATGGGATTTATTTTCCTGATATAAAACAGCTTCATGTCAGCTCAGCAGAAATGTATTTATTCCTACTCCAAGCAACTGGCCCTCTGTGCAATTTGCTAAGACAACGATCTATCACTAAGGTCATATTACTTGCTCTCACACTCCTCATATTCCTGCTAGAGGACATGAAAAAGGCTTGGTAATACTGGTTCCAGTTGCCACCAGCATGAGCTCACAACAGCTACCCAGGAAAGAGGCCCCATCACAGCATGTGTAGACCCCAAATCAGACATGAACAGCTCATAGCTAAAACTTATTTTTCTCTTATGCTATTTGCCTCTGTTGCTCAGCACACCCTGCTGCAGCAACCTCAGCAAAGGCAAGGAGGCTGCAGGGGAGCATATGGCTCCTCTGACATCTGCTGCGATTAGTCCTTGCCTAAGTTCCCAAATGCATATACAGGTATTTCTTTGGCTTAAGAAATCTGTCAAATGTTTTGAATATTCTACCTTCTCTAGCCATGTGAATGCATAGATAAAGACACAAGTCCACCTGCACGTGATCCCACTAACCCACACATATAAGGTCACAAACTTGGTGAAACTTCCCACAAAACACAGAAAAGAAGTCTGCAGTGGCAGTGTCTCAGACTGCCCGAGGCTCTGGTTTTAATGTTAAGCAACTGTGCATGTGCCTGCAAGCAGTTGTATTTTTCCTAATGTCTGCTACCCAGGATTCTCTGCCATCTTCAGTAATTATTTAAACAGCAGACTGGTACTGCCAACATTGGCTTTTCTTAACCTTTATTTACTTCTGATCACAAAATAAAGGAACTTGTTTGTGTATTTGAGAAGGATGAGAGACCTGGACCAGTGGGGTGGGAAGGAGGTCCTGCAACAGCACACAGCTGTCAGGCTATGGCTTTTGTGTGTTAGCTATCACTATTCAAAAGGTGCATGCATGCCTTCAGCCAGCCATGAGATCCATAACCCTTGAGACTGACCAGTGCGCTGATGCCTTGCAGCACAGGAGATCCTAGAGGATGCTCTCTCCAGTCCAAGCAAAATGTTAGGATGCTTCCTAGCACCAGCTAAGGAGAGACTCTGCTTTGCATCCCACCATCCACAGCAGATCAGGCTGCCCCTGTGAAGATTTACTAACCTGAAGTCACTCAGAGATCCTTAATATAACATACGTGACCTTTATGTCCACAGTCAGTGGCACCAAGGAATTCAAGCAGCAGTGGCAGGATGGTATAGTGCATTTTCAGTAAACTGTATTTGACAGTGAGATGTAGAAAATACTTTGAATGGGAAGTTAACTATTCCTATCAGGGCTCACTTTTATTATGAAGTATTTTGTTAAGCATGAGCTTTTCTGTTCACTGTTCTCCTTCTGCTTCTACAGCCCTCCATGTTTCTGCCGGAGTATCCTCCAGTTCTGCTGCCTGCATCCTGTGGCTCTGGCCACCTGCTGGAGCAACAAGGGGCTGGGAAGAGAGTGCAGGCAGGAGGGCATGAGCTGCAGCACTGCTGCAACACTGCAGCAAATGCTGCCTGGCTGCTTATCCAGCCTCCTGCAGCCACTGGCATAGCCACTCTCATCAGAAGCCCCCAACAGAGAGTTCTGGGATAATCCAGTCACAAACATGTTTCTTCTCAGCTGCACCCAGCTAGCAAGTGGTTTACACTCCTAGTGAGGAAGCTTTCCATCTGTGATACTTCCCTGAGGTAAGGTAAATGGGATGAGATCATCCACACAGAAGACACAGTTTTGAATCAGTGCTGCTGAGCCCCAGGCTCCAGTTTCTCCAGAGGCACAAAAGACACAGGTTACAAAGGACTGCATAAACCCTACATTCCAGCTGTTGGTCTGAGACACTTAGTGCCACCACCGCACACCACAGCTAAGAGGCAGATACTTTCCAAGGATGGAGAAAATCATTCCACAAAAGTGCAGCCAGCTTGGTGACCCAGGGGCACAAACCACCTGCTGAGGAGAGACTACATGTTCAGCCTTCACTGACATACATCCCAAGGCCAAAGTGCTCACACCCTGAAAAACCCAGCCCTTCCTGCAAAGGCTGCATAGTGTCCAGTCCCCTTCCCAATGCCAAATACTCCATTTGGATTGAAGCAAGGAGGCTGCCTTGGTTTGGACACCCAGGACAGGCATGGTTAGGCTGACCCAAGCACTGCATACTGATGGGCAAGGCCCTGCTTGCAGAGCAGGTTTCCCAAGGGAGGATCCTGTGATCCTGAGAGGAGGAGCAGTCATACTGCTCCTTCAGCAGACCCAGACATCCTCATCTGCACCTGGTCCTGCAGAGAGGCATTGCCACCAGTCACAAACCCATCATTTCATGTCCTGGCTAGTCCTTGGGACAGGCCAGCCTCCAGAATATCACAGTTCCTGACCAGGCTACTCAGGACCAAACATAGCACCAATGGAGACCACTTCTGACCCACTTGCAGCTGTTGGGGCTGGCATCACCCCCACAGCTGTCAGAGGCACAGCTCCTTGCTCTGCAGGACCACCTTTCCCACAGGCTCTCTAGATAGCAGCAAATAAAAATCATTGTTTCATTTTTACTAAGGCCCAGCCCACTCAGGACACCAAATTCCCAAGTTCTGGGATGGGAAGTAAGCATACCCAGAAAAAAAGTCAAGTTATTTTTCTGCAGCTGGGATCATTCCTCCCCAGGAGGGAACAGAGCCTCTGGTGAGGATCCAAAGAGACGGTGAGGATGGAGGAGACCTCTGCAGCTGGAGGAAGGCTCAGGCTTCTCCCCTTTTCCTCACCACTATTGCCCTGGACTTGCCTCATGGCTTTCTGCTGCCACTCCATAGCCACTGGCCTTTCCCAAACCGACTCTGGGCACAGAGCCAGGGCAGGAGATCCCATGCAAGACAGCAGCCACCAGCCCAGCTGAAGCCATGGGATGCCATACCTGTAAACCCTGCCTCCGTGCTCTGATGCCAAGTGTCTCCAGGAGAGCCACACCTGTGACAGGCTAGTTACCAGCTCAGGCAAAAATTCTACAGAGAAACAAATGACTCAACAGCAGCTGTGTTAAAAGTGTTATATATTTATTGCATTCTTAATAAAAATACTTTTAAAGAGAGAATTTTTTCAGCATGTACAAGACATGGAGATACGAGGGTTGAGCAGAGTAGTTTGCTTTGACACAGACACTTACTTCAAAAGCCAGTTAACATGATAGGTGCAGGAAGAAGTATCCTTTGCGAGCCAGTATACAGAAAAGCCACTCCACCGAGGGGTCTACACAGGGCAGGAGACATGTCCCCAGATCTGGCCAATCTGTAATAGTCCACACAGGAAACTAGGGGAGACATCAGGCAGTTTATAGTAAAAAGTCCTTTCTCCTGACCAGTACCCAGCCTTTGGGGATTTGCATTAAGGGCTGTTCATCCTGCACCAGGATGCTCTCTGTAAATACATCTGTGTGGTCAAACTGATGGCAGTAATAGTGTTAACTCCCTCCAGTGCCCAGCACCTGCAGAAGTCTCCTCCTTTGCAGACCTGAGGGTTCCCACAAGGGATCCCCCTGGACAAGATCAAAGGAGCTAATCTTACTGCTATACCCATGGGAGAGCATCAGTAGGGACCAAATATTATAAAAATATAAAATACTAATATTAATATATAGCAGCAGCACTATATTGACTCAGAAAGCCTTTAAAACATATCACCCTTTCAGCTCTCACTGATTCATAAATTAGATCCACTTCTGTCAGATTTCCCAACCTGCCCTTCATCTGAAGAGAGGCTGTGACTTTTGCAAAATATGAATGTTTCAAAAGAAGTAAAAGGACATCCTCAGTGGAAGGTGAGCAAGTTCTGCCCTGGTCTGGCACCAGCACTAAAGGGAATGTCATCTGCATGAAACCAGTTGGGTCATTCCTCAGGAATGAGGTTTTTTTCCTTGCCAGACCACTACTTCCTCGAGCAATCTTTTATTGCACCACTAAAAATAAATTACTTGAATTAGAATTATGGAACATCTTAAAAAAAAAAAAACAAAAAACAAAAAAGGAAAAGCATGTAATGAATGCCTGACACAGCAGATATACAATGGACGTTTCAGGAAAGAAGCTTGTGCACTATACTTTGAAAGGAGGCCAGACAGGCTAAAGATGGCCCTTGAAGATCACACAAAATGAGCCATCCTTCTGCTACACCGCGCTGCCTATGCTGAATTCCACAGAAGCTTCTGTAACTTTTTTGCCAAGTCTGTAGCCCACCCATGGCATGATGATGCACACTCATGTTAACTGGAATAGTGTCCTGCAACCAACCTCCAAATACAGTAGAAGAGCCTGGAGAGCACGGTGTGCTGTGTGTTAAACACCTTGACCCTTTTCCCTGCTGAAGCTTATCAGGATAATGGTCTGGGTTTTTCCAGACATGGGGGCAGCATGCTAGATGCAGAGGTGAAAATTAAGGAGAAAACAGACATATTATAAAAGAGCTACCACATACATGATCACCACCTGAAGTGACACTATTAAAGCCTAGTTCCAGAATCAGTGTTTTACATGGGAACCTCACACAGCTCTAGAGCAATTCAAATAACATAGTTCTTTCTTGCATGCATATGGGAAAAAAAGCAGTATAAAATCAAGATGTTTAAGATTTTAACCTATGTAGCTGTGAATTTAGACTGTAAACTCTTCATGACTGGAAAACACAGTACAGATCCCACCCTAAATAAAACTAAGTGCAAAGTAACTGTACTGAAGCTGACAGAATTACAGTAAAACAAAACCAAACTGGTTTGATGTAAGTAGCAGGCCCTACGTCTTTTCTGGTTTCTGTTCAGTCTCCCACATTTTGAAGAGGTGAGGTCATTCAAAACTGAAGATTTGACAACATTCAAGAAAATAGTATGATACAATTATATTTAAAAGTTGTCATATGATGAAATAATTGTATTTTAACTGCAATTGTGAAAGGTAGGGGTTTCAGACTGGAGCAAACAAAAGTTGAACTCTTTAACACAAGTGCATGTGGCACTGCAGGATCCTTGCAAAGGCCTACACCTTTGCAACCCTTTTCAGCAGTCTAAAACCCCATGGTGCTCAGATCTGTCCTCAGAATCATGCCTTCTTCCCTTTCCTGCACAAGCTCTGCTTTTACACTCCTCTTCCCAAAGCTGTGTAGTAGTCACAGTAAGCCCCAGACAGCCCACTATTGCTGAATGAAAGATAAAAGCAATGATCAATAAGAGTTTTAATCGCCATAAGTCTGTATTTCTACACATACTGCATATACTAATATTGAGGAAGATAATGGAAATGCAGTAGTAGGATAAATTTGTGAGTTGATTACAAAGGGATCTCTGTAGCATGCTGTTTCAGTAAAAAATATTTCACAGGCATGGAAAGATATCCAGATAATGACTTCTATTGCATCTCTTAGTTCATACAGCATTTAAAGCATGGGGAAGACAGTGAAAACTCTTAATCTCTATGAACCCGAAGATGCCCTACATTCCAAGCTCTATAGTATCTGAGATTCCTCTTTGCCATTGCAGAGGGCCAGTCCTACAATTAGCTGCCATATTCATATTGCTCTGTTAGTCAACAGGGGGGATGGATGGGTTGGGTCAGCTGTTGACCCTCTCCACAGAATACTGATACACATGGGAAGCCATGTGAACATGCGGCAGCTCAGGAAGGGGCATCCTTCTTTACTTTATGTGAAACAGACTAAAAATGATGTTTTCTTTTTCGTGACCTGGTGGCCCGTGCAGGAGTGAGTTTTAGAGAGTTTTGGTTAGACTCTGCACTGGGCCTGGGGGGCTGTTTAGAGCAAGCTGCTTGCAGACAGGACCCTGGCATGGCACTAGGATCTCGTATCCTCTGGAAAGCACGGACCCCATCACGTATTTCTGTCAGTGTCTGACACATCTGGCCGACCTGGCTGGTGAGGTCAGCCACGCTCTGGCTGACGGCATGCATGCTATGTGCCATGTCCCTGTGAATGGCCACCAGCTCCTGGCAGAACTGCCTGAACAGGTCTGTTTGCTGTGCATGGGAATGGAGAAGCTGGCGGTCGAAGCTGGCGAGGGGCGGGCTCCTTGTGCGGGGGTGCGGGGGTCTGCAGGCCGAGGTGGCGCGTGGGGATGGACAGCGCAGGTCCTGCCTTTGGCTGGCAGCTTCTGAGGGCTCTGATGAGGAAGAGGAGCGAAGGAAGGAGGGCCTGGAGAACGGATTGACACCTGCACCAGCCCTCGGCAGCGAAGAGAAGTGGTGTTCCTGAGAAGTGCCTGGCATCCCTTCATCTTCATCAGCTTAAACAGAAGAGGAAGCATGAATTATTAATGTGAAATCCCTCTCAACACTGGCTTCTGTTTCAAGATATCTCAAAGAACATGGAAAAAGGGTTTTCCCCTCCCCCCAGCCTGCCAGTTCAGACAAGCCTGTAGCTTCTGATTCTAACAACATGCAATGTTAGAATCTGACAAGCTTAGCCATGAGAAACCTGAGAGCGGGTGAACCCAAGCTATTGTGGTATTCTGTACAGCGCACTGTTCATTACCAGAATATGAATCCATTTCAGACAGTAGCAATGACTTCTCTTCCCCAAACCCATAGGTAGCTAGCACAAATATTGTGGAGGGACACAGACTTCACATGTAAAAATCCTGCTCCCCCATCACTTCTTACATCCTCTGCACTAAGAAGACTGTAGATGTTGTATTTGCTTCTCTCAAAGTGTGTTCTGCAAAGCCACCATGTGGCTTGGCATCACTAAGACAATGAGGCAACCAGACAAAGCAGCAAAAGACTTTTTATGTTAATCAGGCAAATACACTTGATGCAAAATCAAAACTAAAGCAAAATGCCACAGGAAAACTATAATCAGTCTGATAAATATCTAGTGATGTGCCAGGTCACAGGTACAGGCATGTGAAGAGTAAGAAGAGACAAGGTTTCACCTGGTGCAGCTGCCCACTATTTCCTTGTATAACCTGTATTCTTTTTACCCCTGAAACAGTGGAACTGGCTTCCAAGATAGATGCAAAGAATGACCAAGTCCCACCTTGTCAGTTCTGGAAGATTTTGTTCTTGCTTTCCCACTAACAATTTCAGATATAGGATCAGACCTAGTGTGGTAGGACAGCGCCACCCATGAGGTGTCAGTGGACTCACTTCCCAAGAAGCTATCATCTCCTTCTCCTCTTTGTATCTCTAAAAGCTCACAAAGAAGAAGCCGCACCGCCACAAAAGCAAACTGTGTACAAAACTATGGAAAGGACCTGCACAAAGCAGCTTGTGGTTTAGCACTGGAAGGTGCCAGAATTGTGGTGTAAGAAGATTAACTTCAAAAGCAGGGCTAGCAGTTTCTTTAGAACCAGTGAAGGAGTCATTATTGTCTACCTTTTTCACAGTGTTCATGCTGATCCTTCAGACCACTACTGAGAAATCATTAGTGGCCCAACCTCAGCAATGAACACCAGTGATCACTGAGACCCCCAAAGCTCTCTCGGAAGTGATCCACGGGAACAGGCAGGTGCCTTTCAGTTTGGTAGCATTGCTGTTTTATCAGGGTGAAGATATTCCAATCCTTTACAAGTACTTTTTCCGCAGACTGGAGGCAGTCATACTCCAACTACAGATTCTCCCTCACTTGTAGGATTAATTCATACTTATAATCTACTATGTACTCTCAGATGATAGTATGGAAAAGAACTAGACAAACACATAAAGTTGACTTTAACTTGGAAACAATCCATCTCAACACTCCACAATCACCAGAGCAGAAAACAACCACAGCAGAAGGACAGGCAACCCAGCCATCTCACACAACACACAGTGCTCTTCTGGTGTCAAACTGAGATATGCAAGCATGAGACAAAGAGGTGTTAAGGCAGTGATACTTACAGCTCGTTGTCAGGCTGTCAACCACGTCCAGATCCGCTCTCCTGCGGCCATGCCTCTGGTGGGAGGAATGCAGCGCCGACTGGATGGCTCTCTCATGGGCGGTCAGGACGATGGCTGAGGGCTGCCCCGCACTGCTGGGGCTGGAGAGGGACCTCTGCATGAGTGCCAGTTTGTCCTTGGTCCTTCTCTTCATGTCGTCCCATCTGTGTTTAATGTCTTTTACAGACCTGGGGACCTGGCTGACTGATGTGATCTGCCTGGCTATGCCTTCCCAGATCTTGTCCCTGTCAGCATGGGATAGACGCATTGTCTCCCTCCCAAACAGCATGGCTTCATTTCGGGTCACCTCAGTGACCAGAATGTCCAGTTCTTCCTTGGAAAACTTGGGCTTCCTCTTTCGCTCAGCCATGTTCCTTGGGTTGAACATCCCGCAAAGCATAATTGGGTAAAAGGAAATCAGCACAAAGCAACCCCCTGCATCCAACCACTTGGCCAGTGCAGTACTGGGGCAGAGGAGTTTGGTGGGATCCAGCTCCCCCAACCCACAACAACCTCTCACCAGGAAAAGGCAGCTGTTTTGTTTTTAGAAGGCAATTTTCAAGCTTAAGAAAAAAAATACCAAGCAACACTAGTGTGAAGGAGCCTTCTCAGCTTTAAAGGTAAAATCAAATTTTACACATCATCTGATGCCCTGACTTATGCATAAGATTTTCAGTTCAGCCTCACATCACTTGCCACATTTTGTGCACAGAAAAAAAACGTGAGAACTTGCAATCAGAGCGGTGAATTAGCTTCTAATGTGACACTGCTTGAAACTTAGAGAAAATTTAGAGGCCTGAAACATATCTTATTGTTCTATCTGGCATAACATGCAATAGAAAATTTTTTACACCATCTTCTCTGTTACAACTTGCAGGATATCATGAAAAGGCGATATCAAATTTGGATTTTTTTTGCAGTACGTAGGACTTTCGACTAGACTGGTGGGCAATTTCTGCAACTTGCTTTCCCTAAGGAGAAACCTCTTTTTTCAGCACTGGGGTATTCTACATCCCGCATTTATCTGCTTCACAGCAAGCTCTTGTTTCACCCAGAAATGGCTGCCATTTCCCATTGTTCTCAAAAGGAATGAGGCCACCCACTTGATTTTCCTGGCTAGGCTTTCTGTCACTGCCACCAACATGAGCCTGCATCCAGTTTCTGATGCTTCAGATGAACAACTTGTAGCCTCAGCCCATTGAGAAAAAGAGGCAGCTATCCTGAGAACAAGCAGTTTTGTCCAAAGGAGATTTGTGTTAATTTCTCCAGCCACAGTCAAACAAAACTACAAAATAAACAAAACATTAGTCCTAACTATGTTTTGTTATTGGGAAAAAAAAAGAAGGCAGTAGATCTATTCAATAAGGAAACAGAAAACAGACTGTCTGAACCTACAGAAAGGTGCTGACCCACGGCATTCTAGCTCCTTCCTAGTGTCGTTAATTCCCGTAATTGTTGTTTAATCAATCTCACTGACACTGCAACTGGAAAACCAGTGGGAGAAGCTGCTCAAATCCAGGCCACATCAGGGAGAGAGTTGGGACCTAAGTGCAGAGGCATTTCACAGGAACAAACATAAATGAATGCATGAGATACTCTCTTGGTGAAGTTTCGTTTATAGAGAGAAAGAAAGAGCATTTAGAGAAGATGGTAATGAAATGATGGAGAGCCAGCAAAGCACTTGTTATCCTGAATCTCAGAAAACCCCAACAGAAATCTCGCCAAACTTAAAAGGAAAAAGGAGTTCTCCCAGCTGAACACAAGAAGAAGGGAAAAGGCTACATGAAACATTGAATAAGGGGATATTTACAGTTTGACTTTTATGGCATTCAGCAAAACTGGGCTTGGTGTATGCCCTCATCAGATAAGCATGACTGCACAGTATCATCAGTGCCTCCATGAGGTGGCAACAAACCTCCACTGCTCTGGTGAAAAAGTGTAACAGTATTCTGCAAAGTGCTCTGGGTAGGGGTGAGCTTGCAGAACAGAACAGCACTCTTTGGAGACAGAGGGTCACAAAACCTGGTGCCCCTCTTCTCTGCCAAACTCACAGCTGCTGTCACCAGCAAAGCTGCCTCAATGGGGAATTAGAGCCCTGTCTGCTCTCCCCAGACAGGATATCTCACCAAGTGCACTTAGCACAGCTTATGGTAGGCCTGGATATTCAGATTTTAGTGTTTCCACTCATATGCTCTGGCACAACTTGGGTCAAAACAATCTTACTTACATATTCCAATAGCAAACTTGCCACACATCGAGTAATGAGCTCTGGCCAATTTTAATCACAAATTCAATTAACCTTAGGTTCCTAAGAGGCACATCAACTTCCTCCTAATAAAAATGCAGACAGTGTTACTGTCAGAGGGATCCTTTTCTCCTCTAGCATGCCATATGTCCCTAGAGGCAGTCACTGATATCTACAAGTACCTCTCTGGTGATGCCATGAGGGTTTCAGCAAGCTCCAGAGCAGCCGCAGCTGTGAGGTTGTGAATTCACACCTCAGCCCAGGTTAATCTGAAAGTGCAAGACACACTGAACAGTAGGCACCTAATGATAACCCCACAAATATATCAATCAACTCCACTTTTCTTGGCCTCTAAGAAACAAGCACGTAATTTTTCCCAGGGCTTTGTGAGGATCACAGCCCCACAGTAATTTAGGATTACTTCACTCTGCATAAATTTGACTCTGTAATAGATAAGAATATTTGCTCCACTTGCTGCAAGGTAGCAGAAATCAGTTTATGATGTTCAACAAAATGATGTTCACAGGCTGGTGGCTTTTACT